CAGGTTGAAAGAACCATTCATATCGGTGTTTGACAAAACTAGTTACAACTTACGATCTGTAAACTCTGATAATTTATAAGCTTGAATGGCCATAAATGGACAGGCAAGCAATAATATGATTTGGACAGTTTATTGCAAAACCAAAGGCATCTATCAAAACGCTTATCTGCCTATATGAACTCTTTTTGCATTGGCATCAAAGTAATAAAAAGAACTATTCTTTCATTCTTTTATTTGTTTTGAACAGCAAATATTTCATTCCTGCTTCCCTTTCTTCTCATAGATGTTGTCACCATAGGCCATAGTTATACCATTTCTACTGATCAAACCCCATGAGTTGCCATCAACAATCTGAATCTTGGCCGTCGTCCTGCTCCAAATTTTCTGCCACTTCTTGCAGCGTGGTGATATGATGAGCAAAAAGCTCCATATCAAAATCGGAGACCAAATCGAATTCATAATTTGGCAAAGGTATGTTAGGCATTGGGAACGTGTAGTTGTTAGTTTCTTGTTGAAAACAACTTGTAGTAGCAGAAAGGTTTGATGAAGATGGAGAGGGGTTGCAGGCAGCCAAGTTTAGAGCAGCAGAGGCAATATCTTTACCAGTTATAGCAATAATGGATGGCTCAGCCTTCTTCAACAGCCACTCCACAGTCTGACCATCCGTTTTGTTKCCGAGCTCTCGAGTGAGCTGAAACACTCGAGCTGCACACAACGGTGGAAGGCGGATACGACGATCACGCCCGTGAACCTTAGCGTGGCGATCTTTCGGAGCTTTGGAAGGCAGGGGCTTAGACTCTGAGGCATTTGGTGAATTGGAATTGGATTTTGGTGCATTTCTTGGAGAGCTAGATGTAGCCTTCTTGACTCTCATGTTTTTTGATCCCATGAACCTTTTTCCAAACGCACGATGATCCAATGTAATCTCCTTTTAGGGTTTATATAAATCTATGTATGCATGTGCATGCACGTGCACGTGCAGGTGATCGAGATATCGAAAGATTATAATCGTTCTTGTTTCTAACTAAAGAAGTGTGAGTCCTTTTTTCTTTGTTTTCTTAGTAACGGCAGTGCATATGAACAAAAAGGCAAAAGTTTTCTTAGACATGGCGACGGATTGGAACTTTTATTAATACCAATACAAATAAAAATGAGAGAAAAAAGTGATTTTTGTACCAGTTAGGCAGGTGGGTGATAGTAATTTGCTTACCAAAAGTGGGTGTGAAGAAATGGAATGTTTGAAAAGGCTCTTTTGTGGCTCAAATTTACTCTCCAAATATGAATCACTCACACCAACTCAATTTTGACTCGGAGACAGACCGAGAGAGGGTTTTAATTTGGTATTTGTAGCTCTATTTATTATTATTATTATTATTATTTTAGACAGGCATTTGTAGCTCTATATGTCAACATGAGTTTGGATTCTTTCAAGAGAAGTACCATTTTTTTTTGTCCTTTTATCAATAGTTTTACTTTTAAAAATGATGTTTGTTAAATTGTTAACCAGTATTTGTTCATGAACCACTTTTAAAATCATTTTAAAAATCGTAGCTGACTTTTTAAATTTGAAAAAAAAAATCTTAAAGTAAATCTCTATTTTTTACTTCTAAATTTGATTAAAAATTCCAAAAGTAATAGTAGTTCAAATCCCTTCCTTTTATTTGTATAAAATTTTGTAGTTCAATTGATTAAAGTATGTGTTCTCAACCAAAATGTTAGTAAGTTCATGTTATTGAAGTCAAGTAAAAGACTGATTGAGAATTAATATGGATTTTGAGTTAATGGATCAGACAATTGTATTGGGCCGACAAGGATTTCGGCGAAGCATACAAAAAGCCCAATAGGCCCATAACAAAACGCTTTCGATCCGAGCGCACGTTAGCAGCAGAAAACCCTGGAAAACTTGAATGGCGCCACGAGTGCGCAATGTATACATTTCATTTGTTGTTGAAATCGCATTTGGGCCGTCCCGTGGGTGACCAAAGACAAACCAATCCTGGAATAGCCTCAACGGTTCTGGAAAAGGAAGAATCTTCTGGAACCCCTCAACATTTACCATAAAAATCAAACCCTAAACTCATACCTTCATCCTTTTGCTGCTGACCACCTTATCCCCAAAACCCCGCTCGCTCAAGCAGAACTGTAACCCCCGGAGCTCTGCTTCCCGAAAATGGCGTCTGCTAATGCTATTTCTTCCGCATCCATTCTCTGTTCTTCTCAGAAGGTACTACTTCGCCTGCTTTCTCATCTCTTCGTTGTTTGGACTCTGTATTCTTGCTGATTCCTAGCTTTCCTTCGTCTTTGGAAATTATTGACATGTGGAGAATAGAAATTTTTGCACCGTCTGAGAACCATTTGAGCTACGTAATTGGAGTGTTGGGTAGAAGTTTTTGTGGAGTTAGCCATGAATATGATAGATGAGCTGAGATTGAGTTTTTGCTTCTTTTAAATGTGGGGGAGGAGGAAGTGATAATATTAATGTAGCATTTCCAGTAGCTTACTCTGCATTTGTCTGACGTTGCAGAACTTGAGGAAGGTGAATCAATCGCAGAGCAGCAGGCTAAATTACAGACAGGCGGGTAGCAGATTTGTTGTGAGAGCTACTGCAAAGGAGATAGCGTTCGACCAGAGTTCTAGGGCCGCACTTCAGTCCGGGATTGATAAGCTTGCCAATGCAGTCGGTCTGACTCTTGGACCTAGGGGTAACTTCCTGCTTCTTTTCGTTTATGAAGCACTTAGTATTGAGTTTCGTTTGTGAACTTTTCGTTGTCCTATCTTGCTTTTTGTTTTGTTTAGTTGTAGGAGTCTCTACAAGATATGTTCAATTCATTTGGAAATTGATATCTTTTTTCTGTTTATGGAAATGGATAATTCAACTTGTGCCCTTTATATTTGAAGGGAGGAACGTTGTGCTGGATGAGTTTGGGAGTCCCAAAGTAGTAAATGATGGTGTAACAATTGCTCGGGCCATTGAGTTGCCCGATGCTATGGAAAATGCTGGTGCAGCTCTGATTAGGGAGGTTGGCATTTTATACTTTAACTTGAACTTCCTCTTTTATACTGTGCGATCTATATTTTATCTGTTATGATGCTAAAACTTCTCATCTATCAGGCCCTGAGGTCCTGTAAGATTTTTCATTGCGTTGACAAGCATCATTTTTGTCATGAAGGTTGCTAGTAAGACTAATGATTCTGCTGGTGATGGGACAACAACTGCCTCCGTCCTCGCTAGGGAAATTATCAAACTAGGACTTCTCAGTGTTACGTCCGGAGCAAATCCAGTATCACTGAAGAAAGGAATTGACAAGACTGTGCAAGGATTGATAGAGGAGCTTGAGAATAAGGCTAGGGCCGTGAAAGGTGGAGATGATATCAAAGGTAGTGATTCCAATTTTCCGTATCCTGTATAGACCTCAATGTGGAACCTTTTGATTTCTTACCAAAATTTCTTCAATAATTGATCTTTGTTTTTATTTACTTCCGTGTAGCTGTTGCTTCTATTTCTGCTGGAAATGATGAGCTTATAGGGTCGATGATTGCTGATGCAATTGATAAAGTGGGGCCCGATGGTGTCTTATCCATTGAGTCATCATCTTCCTTTGAGACCACTGTTGAAGTTGAAGAAGGGATGGCGGTGTGTACTTTTTGCTCTTTTCTAAATTATCTTTCTCTGTCCTTCTGCATCATACATGCACATTCTCCACATTCTAACTTTATTCTTTACGTCTGTATTATTTTTTTTGTTTTGCAGATTGACAGAGGCTATATCTCTCCTCAGTTTGTCACGAACCCTGAAAAGTTAATTGCTGAATTTGAGAATGCTAGAGTGTTAGTTACAGACCAGAAAATTACGGCTATAAAGGATATAATCCCTCTTTTGGAGAAAACCACACAATTGAGAGCTCCTTTGCTTATCATTGCAGAGGACGTTACTGGTGAGGCTTTGGCTACACTTGTTGTCAACAAGTTGCGGGGTATTCTAAATGTTGCTGCCATTAAAGCTCCGGGTTTTGGTGAAAGGAGAAAGGCTATGCTTCAAGACATTGCCATAATGACAGGTAGTCTAAGTTATCCTGGGCAATTACATGCTTCAGCTGTTTAAATGCTAATGAGTTTGCCCTTTGAGATTTTTCTTTTGCTTTACTTGTTTAGTTGATTGCAAAGTTGATTTTGTTTTCATGGATCCATGACTTCTCTATGCCATCCGTGTGAAATTTTATTATTTGGTTCAAATGAGTTTTATAGGGGGGAGGTCACATACTTTCGAACCCATCCGCTTTTATGTAGATGTGAACAGAATGGCTAACTTTTTACTTGTTACTTTATTATTTCAGGAGCTGAATTTCAAGCCAATGATCTTGGATTGCTTATTGAAAATACTTCAATTGAACAGCTTGGTTTGGCCCGAAAAGTGACCATCTCTAAGGACACAACCACCATTATTGCTGATGCTGCTTCAAAAGACGAGATTCAAGCTAGGATTGCGCAGATAAAGAAGGAATTGGCTGAGACAGATTCTGTTTACGACACAGAGAAACTGGCTGAAAGAATTGCCAAATTATCTGGTGGTGTTGCTGTCATTAAGGTAGGAGCTGCTACAGAGACTGAACTCGAGGACCGGAAGCTCCGTATTGAGGATGCAAAGAATGCAACTTTCGCCGCCATAGAGGAAGGGATTGTGCCTGGTGGTGGTGCTGCCCTGGTTCATCTCTCAACTTATGTCCCTGCAATTAAGGACAAGCTTGAAGATGCAGAGGAGAAGCTAGGTGCCGATATTATCCAAAAGGTAACTAACTCCTGTGCACGTAATATTGGACTTTGAACTTTCTCGTTATGCCTAAAAGAAGCAACCCAACCAAAAACGAGGAGAATGAAAGATTGGTATGTGTTGAGATTAGATATTTCTTTGATTTCAAAGTGGCATGACTGGTTATCACACGGTTTTAAGACATTTCTGGAGTTGCAACGTGTTGCAGGACCTCTCAAAAAGAGTCTACATGATGTAGTAAAGTGGTTAAGCTTGCGGTTCTGGTAGTATGTGAGTATTTTGTTGTTAATTTCGATCTTTTTGTATGTAGGCGCTGGTAGCACCAGCATCATTGATTGCCCAAAATGCTGGAGTTGAAGGGGAAGTAGTTGTGGAGAAGATCAAGGCGAGTGAATGGGAAATTGGGTACAATGCAATGACGGACAAGTACGAGAATCTTGTAGAGGCCGGTGTTATCGATCCGGCCAAGGTCACGAGATGTGCCCTACAGAACGCAGCTTCAGTTGCTGGGATGGTCCTAACCACACAGGCCATTGTAGTGGAAAAGCCCAAGCCCAAGGCACCCGTCGCTGCCCCACAAGGCCTTACCATTTAATCCCTCCTGGGAAATGTCATCTTCATTTGTAGGACATCATCAGATATCAATCAAGAGCGACTTCTGGTTCCGGCGGCGCGCGTTCATGGGAAAGAACGGTGAGACAATAAGAAGAGGTAACTGTGTGTATGTGAATGCGCCTTTTTGTACGGATTTGGGAACTTCCATTAGGTACTGTAAGATTACTGAATCAATTGGATCAATTTTACTAGTTTTCATTGAAAAGAAATAATTTCGGTAAAATGGTTGTATTACAGATAGGACAGATATTCCTCCACTAGATTTTGGACATAATAATCAAGGGTCAGTTAGTGGGTACCCCTTTGAATGATTGCATATGTTAAAATGACTCTTGAGAGAGGCTTTGACCATAATAGATGGCCAATTGGGAAAAAGAAAGAGAGAAAGTCACGATCCGCAAAGATTGACACAGAATCTCATATTTGAAAATGATTATGCCCAATCCATCACATCAAACTTTGTTCACCTTTCCAATTGAAGCGGTCTATTTTTCTCTGACGATTTTTGTGTAAAATTTTTGGCATCTATAATTGCTTTTTAGAAGATTAGAATCTTTCATCAAAGTGGAGAAGAATGTATATGAAGCCCCTATGCCATGCTTGCTCAACTCCGCAATCATGGAGTTGTCAAATCTGATTCTCCCCCAAAAGAACGAGTGTAGGGTATAAATCGTAACACGTGTCGCCGATTTCTAAATTAAATAATTGCGAGGGTATGCCACTTTTGGCGGAAATTGAAAGTTTCAAAATCGAATTTGTTCTTCAGATTATTTATTCCAAATACAGAAACATATTGAAAAAAGAGAAAAAAATATATATATATGTAAGAGAAGAAGGATAGGGCGTGAAGAAATTGTGCGATCAAAATCATTGTTCGCTAAATTTTGAAGCCGTCAAAAAGTCGTAAAAAGCAGGCAGCTAGCCACCATTCTTTTCTTTCTTGGTGCTTAAATTTTGGCAGCTGATTAATTGACACACACGTGTCAATCAAACTACGACTCAAACATCAACCAGAAAGAAAAAAAAAAAAAAGAAGTTCCCAACCGTCTTAACAGTAAATATCTAATTTTCAGTTTTATTCTATATATAGTTATTGAATCTGTAAATTTATATATACTTTTGGTTGATACAATGCAGAACTCATGGTCTCTCTTAAGATTTTGTTTTTCGTGGGAGAAAAAGAAGAATTAGCTCTGCGCCATCCACCATTTATTTATTTATTATTATTATATTTCTTTTGGACAAAACGCGGTCTAAATCGTAGTCGTGGCCAACAGTATATACTTTTCGTGTAGTTGTTCTTTTACATGTTAAATAAATATTTGAAATTTGAACACCACTAGCTTTAATTTATGCTCATATGTACGGTGGCTAGAGTAATTTTCCATCGCATGCCAAGTTAGCGGGAATACGTTTTGATAAAGAATAAAAGCATATTTTATACAAAATCATCAAGATCATATAGAAAAGAACATTAGTTGACTTGTGATTATTTGACTTTTTCAAATATCGTATTTGCAATTAAATTTTTAAATAGTACAAGATTTCAAAAAATATATATATACGCTACACTTGTAAATATTATTCAATTAAAATTATTGGTAAAATACGTATAAACAAATAAAATTGATTCCATCTTCAAAAATTTGAGTTGAAAATAAATGACTAAATATATACAAATTATATGCAGATAGAGTTAAGTCTAATCAGCCTAATCCATATTTTATATCGCACCAAACTTTCTTAAAAACGAAACATGAGACTAATTCAAAGTTCAAATCAATAAAGGGGCAGACTTGGAAAAACTAAAGGAGGGTGGGGGAATGGGGCGGGCCAAAGTCGGTTACTTTCAAAATATCTTAACCAACGCACAATGGTGAATCCTCTCTTTATTTTTGAAAAAAAGGTGAAATTTATTTGTATCCTCGAGTTAATTAAAATTGGTGCAATAATATTTAAAAATAAAAATTAATTAGATTTTGGTTGATGTGTTAAATTAAAATGTTTATTTTGATTATAACAGGAGTGGGAGTGGGAGTGGGAGTGGGAGTTGTAAATTACGGAAGCGGGGTCCTCATGTTCCCCGTGTTGTAGGACTACGACTAGGGTTGCGGGAGGGAGGAGGCGAATTCCGTAATTTTGCATTCCACATCCCCCCCCCTTGAATCTTGATCCGACTCCGACTCCGACTCGTGGAAGCTACGTCTGAGCGCTGCGTGGAAGGCAGGTGACACGGCAATGACACCGCCACGATCCAAACTCCCTTCCCTTAATTCTCTACTACTTCTTCTTCTTCTTCTTCTTCTTCTTCTTCCTCCTTGTTTTCTCTAACATCCTCCCCCTTCTCGCTATGCAACCGCCTACCGGATCTGCCTGATCTCCGATTACAGGTTCCTCTCCCATTCCCTTTTTCTTCTTACCGGATCCGCATTGCCTTCATACTCTTCTCTGATTCTCTCGCATTCTCGTCGTTTTTCTGCTACATTTATTTATTTGTTTATTTGTTTATTTCAATTGTGTTTTTCGCGTGTTCTATCTGGACGATGTGAGGCAATGTCATGGTTGTTTTTGTTTTGTTGTTGGAATGATTGGCGTTCTTGTTGATTTGGAGCGGTTATTGTGTAGAGGGTTGTTCGGGTTCGATACAAATGGCGGAGGTCGCTAAGGTGTTGTATATTGTGGTTCTGGATTATGAAGAACAGCTAAAGAAAGAGAAGGAGTCTTTCCGCTATACTCGGCCTGTTTTGCAGAGCACTCTGCAGCTCATGGGTTGCAAAGCACGACATGCTTTCAAGGTGCGTTGTCTTTTACCTGCTCATTTCTATATATCTTCTCAATTTGATGTTATTTGTGTCTTATGTTACCGACTGGTTCGGCAATATCTTCCCCATTACATTCTTCCTTGGGATGTGGTTATTCTCATACCTGTTCTTTTATTTTTGTTTTTTCCTCTTTATTCTCTTTTTGTCTGGGTTGATGTGGTCGATATTTGCCAATTTATTGAGGTATCTGAATTCTAGATGTGGAGGTGGGATCTGATTCTGCCTTGTCGTCACTTGTTACAGAGTTCTATTTGTTCTAGCCTGTTTTTTGATTGTATCATGAATAGTTATTTCTTTCTTTTACTTTTATTATTTTTCTCAAAATCTTCAAGTGAAAACTGTTTCGATTTGTTGAGCCAAATTTTTGTCCCCTGTATTTCTGTCTGATAAATTGGGCATTTTACTTTCTACTTGTAAAATTTTATAAAATGAAAATCTTCTCTCTTTGTTTTCTTCTTCAATTATGTTTATTTCTCTCCTGTTGCTGTTATCGTCGTGTTGTTTTTCCCTCTCCGCTAAGCTTACTTGTATTTGGTGTAAATGTTATTTACTGTTCCTTTTCATGCTTTGATTTCTGGAAGACCTTTTCCGTTTCGTACTCAATTGTGGCTCTCGCTGTTGGGTTTTGAACCCCACATACCAAACTTTTTTCAATATCTTGACTATTTTCACGGATAGTCTATTTTCGATCTCCTATTCCATGCTCTGTTGCATGTACGAGTGCATTGTCATGTCTTCTATTGGTAGGACAGCTGTAATCTGATCTTGTACCTCCTTTATTTTATCGTAGAACTACCATCATGCATAGATGACCCATAGTAATCGCGGACATTTTAAGTGTTTGTTTTAATCCCATCCAATCAATTCTATTTGTCTATAATTTTTTCTGATTTTTTCTTTTCAATGGAAGCGATGGATTCGCTTAACATCTTTGCATCTGAAGAGTATGGAGGTCAATGTACAATGCCTTATATACAATTTGATTTCGATGATTTTCCATTTCCATTCTGAATTTATTTATACGAGAGAGTTGCTTGTGAGTTAAGAGCTGCGAGTGATCTATATTTCTGATGTTTTTCTTTTGATTTTTGTTAAATGAGGACTCTCATGTAGCATTTTCATTTTTCTGACGAATATTATTTTTTCCTGTGATTATTTGATTAGATAAGCCAAAGGGCTTTTGAGTTGATACAGAAAGGTGGTTATGGTGTGCTTCCTGAAGGGTCTGGGATAAGATCTTCTGAAAAAGAATGTGTTAGTAATTGCGATGTGCGCTTTGCTGAAACTGAGGTTTGGAATCATCTAAATTCGTCTAAAGACAGTGAAAATAAAAAAATTCCATTTGAGCTATATAAAAGGCGCACGACTGTCTTTGTAAGAAGAGCAAGCTTCTTGGATGTTGTATGCAAAGCTCTGGAAGAATACAAGTACGTGAGTCCCAACCAGAGGGCTGACTTGCTTTTAGCGTGCAGGTAAACTCTTAATGCCTTCCAGTGGAGTTCCATTATGTTTAACTGTTTTTCTTATTTGTATTAAATCTACAGTAATTTTCTACAAATTGGCAATTTTGTGGTTTAGTCGTGTGTAGTTTTGGTTCAAGTTGCCTTCTACAAGGATGAGTTTAGTGATAATCTTATTCATATCAGAAAGTTATTATGTGGATCGAGCATTATCAGATTCATGTTTCTGATTGGCTCTATCTAATGCAAGTAGTTGAGTATTTGATATCTCAAATATTTAAAATATGTTATCTTATGCTATACTTTGGAAACATTTATCAATAATACACTTCAAATGGTTTCTCTGAAATGCGTGCTCCTAAGGATGCAATCTTGGTAAGTTGAGGATGCGAAGAAGTGTTCACAACTTTATATATTTCATCAAAAGGTCATTTTATTCTGTCCTGATTTTTTTTGTGCTCCACTTGGCTGGCTCTTGTTTCTAAACGCTGGTGGTCTAGAGTTTTCAACCATTGAAACAGAATTCTGGGTTTCACTGCTTAAGTCCGTATATTCTCTCTCTCTCATTTATTTTATAAACCTTAGCAGATCTCCTTGAGCCTTTATGTCTGGTTTTGTGCCAACTGAGCCTCCTTCACTGATCTCCCTTTCACATTTCTATTTCTAAGGCATGCTTTTCTTGTCTAAAATGAAGTAATAGGTCATATTGTCTTTGATGTCGTTCTGAAAAAACTACTTTTTGGTTTCAAAGTTTTCCCTCTGATCTGGATCAAAATATGAACACTTGTTACAATTCCTTGGTTTCATGGATTAAATTTCGTGTATTTTATGATTATTTTGGAGGTGGATGGTCATACTCCATTATATCTGTTTTTGCAAGGTTTATTATTACCATGTTTCCTAAGGATATCTTAAGAAGATTTGGACTTCTGGAAAGTTTGATATGCACTTCTATCATATTTTTCTCAGTTATGCTGGTTTATATATCTTTGTAACAATATTCTCTTTCAACAGAATCCGAGAAAGGAAGGAATCTGTAACTGTACTATTATGTGGTACTAGTGGCTGTGGCAAATCTACTTTGTCTGCACTGCTGGTATATCCTTGCAGAGACTTTAATCTTTAGGGACAAAAACTTGTTGCATTATTCCAGCTTTTACAGAATTTTTAAATGCCTACCGTTAACTGCAATGGATGACATAGGGTTCTAGTTGAAAGTATATTTTGGTTTAGAATGTTTAAACTAAAGTACACCGTACTTTTCCTTGACAGGGTAGCAGGCTAGGAGTAACGACTGTAATATCAACTGACTCAATTCGGCATATGATGAGGAGTTTTGTAGATGAGAAAGAAAATCCTCTGCTCTGGGCTTCAACTTACCATGCTGGGGAATTTTTGGATCCAGTAGCTGTTGCTGAAGCTAAGGCGAAAAGGAAAGCTAAAAAGTTGGCAGGAAAGCCTCATTCATATCCGAAGGATGAAGTACTTGATAGTTCTTCCATTGGAAGATATGATATTCAACCATCGGAGCTCATCAGTCCAAAGCAGATGGCTGTTGAAGGATACAAGGCACAGAGTGAGATGGTGATTGACAGTCTTGATAGGCTGATTACTGCATGGGAAGAGCGGAAAGAATCGGTGGTTGTTGAGGGCGTTCACTTAAGTCTAAACTTTGTGGTGCGTAATCTAAGTAGTTGCTTCCCTATCTATTTAGACATAATACTCATTCTTGCCATTTATCCCAACGCTGGTTTTGCAGATGGGGCTTATGAAGAAACATCCATCCATTATACCATTCATGATTTACATCACTAATGAGGACAAGCACTTGGAAAGATTTGCGGTGAGAGCAAAGTATATGACACTTGACCCAGCTAAGAACAAATATGTGAAGTATATACGAAATATTAGGACAATACAAGAATATTTATGCAAGAGGGCTGACAAGCATCTTATTCCTAAAATAAACAATACCAATGTTGACAAGAGTGTAGCTGCCATCCATGCAACGGTGTTCAGCTGTCTTCGCAGGCGTGAAGCAGGTGAACAGCTATACGATCCTGTGAGCAATACTGTTCCTATAATTGATGAGGAATACAGGAACCAGTGTGCAGCCAATTCACTGAGCTCAAAGTGCATGTTTCAACTCATCCAGAGGAAAGGTTCCTCTAGGAACCTGATGGCTTTGGTTAATACGGATGGATCCGTGGCTAAGGCTTGGCCTGTTGATCCAACTGATACAAGTGGGAAGCCTTTATTAGGCCCGAGGGCTGAGAATGGATTGGGGATTCCAATGTATGGTCCATTGCAGATTGATAAAGCTGAACCTGTTAATCTTCAATTTGGTTTCTATGGCATCAGTGCTTGGCCAACTGATGGTGGGACAAGCCGTGCAGGAAGTGTTGATGAATCCAGGGCAGATGGGACCGATAATAGTAGATACGTTTCTTCTTGCTGCAGCTCACCAAGGTTTTCCGATGGACCTTCCAAGGAGGTAGTTTGGAAAATGATTTTAACTTTCTAAAATACTTGTTAGCTAATTTTTTTCAAGTACATTGCCTCTTGAAATTTTTCTTCCCAATACCCAGTAGTTGTGGAAATTTAAAGCAAAATTTCAAGCCGTATATATGCAGCATATACAGCCTCTATTTGTTTCCCATAAATTTATTTATTTTCTTCGACAATTTGTGCATATATTTTATGGGCCTGTTATTCCCTTTCAGCTCAAGGAAGACATCTCGGTGCATGGTAGCGACGAAGAGGTTGATGATCCTCAAGAGCTTGGCAGCGATGAAGACTATAGTGAAGATGGTGACAAACAGATTCATGAAGAGGTATTGTTTGGTTCTACGTACAATAAATTTTTATTAAATATGCTTTAGAGCATGATCTTCTGCATTAATTTATTTTGCATCCAATGTCATTTTGTTCATAATGTCATGCAACTTATACCATGTTTTGGCTTGGGTTCCGATGTATACTGATGAATTTTGGTAATCTGCTTCACGCTTGATATGGTCATGAAGCCTTAGAGGAATTTCTTCAAGGATCAGTTTTTTATTCTTTTGGTCCACAGATAGGCTCTGTGGATGAGGAGTCGACAAAATCAGATGAAGAGTATGATGATCTCGCGATGCTGGACGTGCATCAGGGTTACTGGTCGGATGATGACATGGAATACAAGGACAGGGCTGGACCTGTTTATAAGGAGCCAAGGAGTGCTCGAGCTGTTGATAGGTATCGCCAGAACTTGGACCTTTTCCTGCGGTCTAAAAGTGAGTCATCCAAGTCGCTCTGCTCTTATTCTTCTCTTCTTAAAGAGAAAGAAAGGAATTTACGAACTTCTGGTTCTATGAAATTGAGAAAACGTTCACTTAGTATTCCAGCCATGAGAAAGCATGGTTCAGCTATTGACGGTCCCATATTATCTGGAGCTCCTCAGCGGTAGGGGTAGCTCAAGAATTTTGCATAGGTTTTAGTTTTCTTTATTGATCTCTCTATGGTTGCCTTTTACTGGAATTTAGCTTAAGACTACGTGGGTACAAACACCCACTCCACACCCCCTTCTCGGGGGTAAAAAACTGACTGTACAGAGTGATTTTTCTTGTAATTGACTTGCTTCGTGTTGCAGCGTTTCTATGTAGTATATATACGTAACCCACTAATTTATAGATGATATAAATCAATAATGTAGATGGCTAACATCTATATCAATAATGTAGATGGCTAATATGATGAGGCTGGTGGTATACCTATTGTACATGTATGTTGTAAGTTCTTGTACTAAGTACAGCATACTGCCCAACACAAGAGTCCAGAGTTATCTATGTAACGAAGTTACCTCGGCAGTAGCCCACTGGCCTCCACAGGACCTGTAAGTTTAGTTGGACGACCACCCCACCGAGACCACGACTGCAATCTATCCCTTGACCTCATCTCCAGGAAAGCAGGTGCTGGCTAGTGGAATATTTTACATCAACAAAACTTCCCGCGGGTTTTAATGCTTTCTGATAGAGAATTATGGTACAAACGTTTCTGTGGGGGCATCTCTTGATTCTGATTCCTCTTCACATGGACATTCTTGGGTATGTGCCTGTGTGGTATATTTTACACGTTGGTTCTTGTTAGCGATTGGCGTTATCGTGATCACACTGGGTGGGCCTGTAGTCCCAACGTTTATTTCTCACAAGTCATAACAAGACAGACGGGCATAAGGGGTGGTCCATCTTATCTAGTTGCGTGCAGCCTGATTTCTGATCTCTGATTTCAGCACAATGTTCCCCACATCGTGATTATCAGTTTTGAAGGACCCGTTTCTGCAAAATACATTGCTTTTATTACTGCTCGGCCAATAAATAATCTCTCATCTAACGCATGGGTTTTCTAGGGAGCGTTTGGTTTGGAGATGGCGCACGGATTTTCTTCTTCAATTGCTGAACTAAAAAAAAAAAAAGAATAAAAACTCAATGATACAGAGCTATCGGGTAATAACTTTCCCAACCAATTTGGGATAATGTGGAGAAAGAAGATCGAGATCGTAGTGGTGCTGTAATTCGAATTTTATCGTAAGCCCATGAAAGTGCTTCCCTTTGGCTTGACATTCACATGTTCATCAAAATTGAATTCTGTCATTAGTTTTGTTCAAATATACAGGTCATTAACACCTTGTATGTTCGCATGCATATGCTACAAAGCTGACGGCCCCAAAATAAACTACTGGGTACTTCAAATCCCCAATTCTTTTTATTGTACTTGAGTAATTGTCAAATTAAGACTATCAAGCATGAAGATGGAGTTCTACTCTTAGTTCTATGGTGTACTCAACTATCAATCGAAGTGGCCGGAACCAGTCTGCTAAGATCAGCCCCACGTTTAGCCAATATGTTTAGTAGCATCTTTGCTTCTTCAATCCGATTCAGCTTGCATAGTTCGACGAAAATATTCTCACAAACAGATTGATTAGCTTGATATCCATCATTCGCCATCATAACTTGCAGCTCCATAGCTTCATTAACCATTCCCTTGTTGCAAAAACCATCAACCAACGTCGTAAACATCGGATCATCCATTTCGATTCCCTTGCTCTGCATCCTGTTTGCATATTCCATCGCCAACCCCATATCTCCTATCTTGCAGAGACCATCTATTAGTACCCAATATGTATCAGAATTTGGGGCAACATTTCTCTCATTCATTTCGTCGAACAGTGAACATGCGCTCTGGATTGTCCCTGTTTTACAGTAGCTTCTTACGATCAAATTATACAAATGGGAATCCACCTTAAAGCCCTCTTCATGCATCTTCCTCACCATTTTCTCAGCCTTCTCATTCCTCCCTGAGCTCGAGAACCCATCAATTAAAAGCTTATATGTGTTGGTATCAAAACGAACTCCTACCTTTTCCATCAGAATCAATATCAGATCCAACTCCTCAAAATTCCATCGCTTAGCACAAGCACTGACCATCACATTGAACGTAATAATGTTGGGTTTAATCCCTCTGCCCAACATCTCCTCCACCAACTCTCTACCCCTTTTAAGCTCGCCATTCCCACACAGGATATCCACCACAACGGTTAAAGAATAAACAGAGACATCTAATCCTGATTCAAGCATCAGATTGAAGAAATTTGAAGCTAAATGTATCTGATCAGATCCTTTAAGGGCAAGCAAATGGACCGTGCAAGTCTTCTCATCGATCTTAATCCCATTATTCTTCATGTAGCTAAAAATTTCAGAAACAGAGTCGAAGAATCCATTGTTCGAGTACATCGCCATCATGAAATTGAAAAATTTTACCTTAACCTTCCTTTCTCGACAACAATTTTCAACCGTGGAAGCAATAACAGCAAATGGGTAGCAGCAATTACTATCAATCGACACAGTTTTGAGAAGGCGCTCTGCATCTGAGAACATCCTTTCCTTGAGAAGTCTGCAAATGACGGTCAAATGGGCCTGGAGATCAGGCTTGAATGAGACGAGAGACTGGTTTTTCAGTACGAAATCGAAGAAATGGAAGCATTCTGAAGATCCAAGATTTGGGTCAGAGAGAATGGAACGGAGACCGTGGGGGTTGAGTTGGGAGATGAGGGAGGTGGCGACGGAGTCGGACGGCGCCGGAGCTAAGATTGTAGAAATGATTTCCAGAATTGGTTTGGAGGAGGGATTGGATTGACGATTTCCTTTAACTGTTTTGAGGGTTTTGAGGAGGTTTTGAATTGACATTATGGAAGTTTTAGGATTTTCGATTTTTCTCTCTGGCGCCGAAGAAATTCCTGTAGCTTCTTCAAACTCAGAGGCCAAACACAGCGTAGCTCTCGGTTCTAGTTTTGAAGGGACCAAGTATGTGATTCTCTCTGCGAATCTTTCCTTCCCCCGTTGTTTTTCATCGAAAGCGTTATCAAATTGGAGAAATTTACGCTTCCTGAGAATACACAGGTACAAGTAGAATAGAAATTCCTATAATCGATGAAAAACTGGATCCAAATAATAATCAATGTTACAGAAGATGGGAGTATCCGATCCCCTATTTCATTGGATTTTTGTTTTTAACTTTGTGATGCTAAGCAGAACTAGAATATGGTGCTACGCTCTTGTTCAGGGAAATATTTCTATTTCAATTTTCAAATTATATGTTTTGGGGATTTTTTCCCTTTTTCTAACAATGTAATTGTACCTAATAAAAGAAAGAACGAAAAGTATTTTTTGACTTAGAACAAAAATTTCTCTTATGCAATTGTAGACAAATATAGCTAATTATTGGAGAGATTTGTATTTTATCATAAATATTTAAATTAACATGTCACGATTGAAATAGTAATGTTAGAAGTAGTGATGTGAAGGAAAATGTGTACGGTTAAAGTTAATATATAACTTGAACCCATTATAATATTGAGTTTGACATGTTTCAATATGTTGTATTTTTTTTTTCTTTTTTTTGAGCACACAATATGTTGTACCTTACCTCCATATATATATAGGGGAAAGAGGAGAAGATATCGTTATTGCTACGTGTAGATTGTCAATAGGATCATACATGCTAATTTCTAGCATAACTTATTAGTCATAGCTTTCATTGTGAAGGATGTTGCAGGTGAGTTGGTGGGCTCATATGTGACACTGTAGCAACCGTGTAGGATATGATAGATCGACCTAAAGTGCGGTACTAGACTATGAATTTGTGTTCTCTTTATTGGTCATATTCAACGTGACTAATTTCACAAGGAACCGTTTAGGATATGATAGATTGACCTAAAGTGCGGTACTAGGCTATGAATTTGTGTTCTTTTTATTGGTCATATTCAATGTGACTAATTCCTCAAGGAGGTTGTAGAACGTAAGATGTAATCCCTCAAATTGTGTCTTATTAGACATCTCATACTTGTGTATAGGCTAAGACAACTTGAGTCAAGCTTATAAAAATTTGATCTCATATGGGTCATGTCGCAGTGCACATAGCCTTATCTAGGTCAAGCTTTCACATAATCGATCTCACTCGAGTCAAGTTCGTTATTGATCAAAACTCGAACCAAATGACTTTCAAATTTCACCTAGTTGAGAGTATATACCAATTACGAAAAATAGACGTCAGAAGCACTGCTGTATTATGACCTATAAAAGATTTCAGTGATTTATTGGTCTCACTTAGCCAAAGAGTGTTAAGTATATATCAGAATTTTGTACTAACTTGCTCAATCTTCTAACAACATTATCACATATGTCGATACGAGAATAGTCCAACTTACTCCTTTCTTTGAAGTCGAAGGTCCAAATTTTCATAGCCCGATTTGTGAAAATTGGTGATGGTAATGGACAACAAATAACATCCATTAGTGAGAGACTAGAGTTATGAAGAGAAGATGTGGTGGGAGAGTGAATGAGACTTAAAAAGTGGACCAAACGGAAACTGACTCAATGAGATCCTCCATTGCGTGTCTGCCACATGTACCCCACGTGGGCCCCACCACCCTCTGCCACTACACAGCCACATTTTCAGACACCATTTTTCTTATTTTTATTTGTTTCCTATATTTATAAATAGGCTATTTAAATCTAAACTAAATTCATACCGATAATTGGAGGATTTGTGTGAACAGAAAACTCCACTGCGTCATCCTCTTGCTCATCCATTAATTTTGTTTTTAGTCTTCTGGTTCGGAATATTCTCTCAGTTTCAGTTTGTCAACTTCAACCTTCAATTCCTATTGGCTTATGCCTATTCCTTTATAAAAGTAAAATTAATGTAAACAAAAGATTATGGATTAATTTTCCACCTCTCTTTTCAAATACATAATAGAGTTAAACACAAATTTACTTTATAATTATCTGAAACCTTCTCTCTTTTGGTGGTAACCGTGCATGACTTTATAATTTTTAGGTATTTGAATACATTTATTTACCCTAATCAAAGCTAAAAAATGCTACCTAGAATTAATTTAAGTATGTAGGTTCAGTGAGTGCTCTATTTAATAATGTTACTCAACTGAGATGATTAGTAACTGTATTTTCTGCAACTTTTTAGTCGAATTCATACAATAATTGATGATCCAAATTTGCATCTTCGCTATCCCATTTGCATATTCTCAACAAACAAACAAAAGAAGTAAACACACGAATGAAAAATGTGCAAAATAACAAATTGTGAACAGAAGCTATGATATATATATGCTTGTTAATTCATACAAATTAAAACAGAATAATTAACTGCTAACAAATATGATAAAGGTCTCAACGATGCCAAAAAACCCAATAATATAGAAAGCATCGGAGGTAGAGAATGGTAATGAGAGGCAAATTAAACAGAATATATCTCCAAATTCTTGAATCAGTTGAATGATTGATTTATAGATTCAAAATGAAAAGAAGTGAAATAATTATGAGATGGAAGAGAGAAGCGAGGCAGTGAGTGGGGAAGATCTCCACAATCTCCAAATTCCTGAATCATCAACATCACCCTTAGAAATAATAATAATAATAAACCAGAGATGTATCCATGGAGAGAGAAGAAAAAGAAGGTACATGAATGAATAAGGGGTCCTAGTTACAGGCATGTCTCCTGCTTCTTTGGTCCACCAACTCACATTCTCATGGATGGATTCATTATTATGCTAAACTTCCACCCTCAACGTCCACTGATTTCTTTATCCATTTCTCCTCACCTCTAACACCCTTTTTTCTTCTTTACTTATTCAATAATTTATACATATATACATATATAATGGAAACTAGATAGAATATTATTTACCTGATTTCAATTCATCTCCAGATTCTCTTCTTTCCCAGCTGTTACAGAGAGGTACAAAAGCATAGTGTATAGTCTCTTCCATCTCATAATAAAAAAGAAATTAAGGAAGAGATCGAGAGTTTTTCCATTCCAATTTCCACTGTTTAATAGAATGAAATAATATTTGGTGATCAGAAGAAGTCAGATCTGGAATCTGAAGTGGTATGTTTTTGCAGGCATTTAATTAAATACAAAACAAAACCACGATGGGAAAACTAAAATATATCCAATATTAAAGTTAAAGCAACAGATTTTGTGATTGTGAGTGCAAAAATAATCCACATATAGAAAACCCAGAAAGGTACTAAAAGAGGGAAGAAATTAAATCATCACCTTAGCCTTGTTCCTTGGTGTGGCAACCGGATCCATCCAACCAAATGATCCCTTTAATAATTAATTCAACACCAAATATTTCTCAAGTTGTTCTTATTGCCGATGCAGCATCATCAAGATTCTCACTTCAAATTAAATCTGGAACCCAACGCGTAGCTGGAACATTTCATTTCAATGTGAATCTTGATAATGCTACGCCAGCAACCAGCAACTGTCTCTACAACTTTCAACGCCAACACCAAAGTTACAATCTTTTTAAAACACCAAAAAGAGGGTTTGTCAATCCAAACCCTAGGAATCTGTTTGGAGGGGAAAATCTAGCTGATTCCAACTCATCGATCGGGTATCTCTCTTTCTGATA